GAATGCAGGCTATCTTGGTGAATGTTCTTTGTGCATTTTAAAAAGAGTAGTATTTTGTTTTATTTTTTTCTAGTAATGGTAGGTGAAATATTCGATAAACATCTGTGAAGCTAAATTGGTTGATAGTTTTAGTTACTCTTCATCCTTGTTAATTTTCTTTGTACTTGTTTTATTAGTTATTGAAAAGGAGTATTAAAGTTTCTAAATATAATTATGAATTTGTCTATTTCTCCATTAAGCTAAATATATATTTTGAAGTCTTAATGTTAGGTTTAGCTTTACTCATGTAGGAATCTCATGTGTTTTTGGAGAACTGACCCTTTTATCCTATTATGTCTCACCTTATCTGAAATAAATATTCCTTGTTCAGAAGTCTACTTTGTCTGATATTAATATTGCTACTTCAGCTTTATTTTGAAAGTGTTTGCATAGTATATCTTTTTTCCATCCTTTTCCATCTAATCCATCTAATCCATCTATATCCTTATATTTAAAGTAGCTCGCTTATAGCATAGAGTTGGGTCTTGCTTTTTAATCTGATTTTACCATCTTTTTAAATTTCTGTGTTTAGACCATTTACATTTAATATGGTTATTGATGTAGTTGAATTTAACTCTACCATTTAATTACTTGTTTTCTGTTTATCCCCTTTTTTTCCTTTGTTCCTTCTTTAATGCTTTCTCTTCTTTGCATTGTTCTAGCTTTTTTTAGTATTTCATTTAATCTATTGTCTTTTGTATTTGTATCTCTTTGTATCATTTTAATGGTTTTAGTATTAAACGTACATAACTTTAACCAGTCTACTTTGAGTTGATATTTTCCCACTTTAAATAGAATGTAGAGTCTAAAATATTATAGATCCCTTTACTCTCCCTTCTTTATGTTACAGTTTTTATGTGTATTACATCTGCATACATTTAAAATGCCACAAGGCAATGTTCAAATTGCTATTTTCAATAGTCATATTTATTTTAAAGAACTTAAAAGGGCAGAAACATTTTGTTATACATAGTCAGGTATTTATCATTTCTATTGCTCTTCTTTTATTCCTATGTTTCCCAGTTTCCCTGTGGTATTATTTTTCTTCAGCATGCAGAACTACCTTTAGCATTTCTTCTAGAACAGATCTCTTTGGCAACAAATGCTTTACTTTTCCCTGATGTGAGAACCCTTTTATTTCACCATCAATACTAAGCAATATTTTTGCTGGATATAGAATTTTGTGTTGACACTTCAGTTTCTTTCAACACTTTGAAAATATTGTTCCAATGTCCTCTGTTGTCTGTGATTTGTGAGGAGAAATATCGAATTATTTGAGTCATTCTATGTATGATGTTTTTTTATTATTTGCTTTCAAGATTTTGTTTCTCTATCTTTGGTTTTCAGTGCTTTGATTATGAGATTTTTGGGCATGGCTTTCTTTTTTTGGGGGAGGCATGGCTTTCTTTGAATTTACCCTTTTTGTGGTTGGCTGAAGTGCTTCTATAAAATTCATATATTTTTCCAAATTTGAAAATTTCAGTCATTATTTCTTCCACATTTTTCTGTATCTATGTCTCATCTTCTGGGACTCCACTGACACAAATATTATACCTTTTGATAATTTCCCACTTGTCTTTAAGGTTTTCTTTGTTAAGATGAGACCATTATTATCTTCACATTCACTAACTTTTCCCTTTTGCCACCGATCCCATCCAGTGAATTTCTTCTTTCAGACATTTTTTTTCAGTTCTAAAGTTTCCATTTAGTTCTTTTTATAGTTTGTGTTTTACTCCTTTCATTAGTGTTTACCTTCATCTCATGGAGCATAGTTAAAATAAAGTTTCTGATTTATAATTCTAACATCTGGTTCATTTTAGTTGGCATCTGTTGATTGTTTTCTTCCTTTGAGAATTGATCACATTTCCCTGTTTCTTTCTAAGCCAAGTTCTTTTGGATCCTTGACATTTTGAATACTGTGCTGTGAAAGTCTGGGTCTTTTTCTTTTTTTTTTTTTTTTTTCCAAAGATTTTATTTATTTGAGAGAGAGCTAGCAAAGAGAGAGAGAGGAGTGGCAGGGGTAAGAGGGAGAGGGAGAAGCAGGCTTCCCACTGAGCAGGGAGCCCCACTTGGAACTCTATCCCAGGATCCTGGGATCATGAACCTAACTGAAGGCATACATTTAATTGACTGAGTCACCCAGGCACCTCCTGAAAGTCTGGATCTTTATTAAAATCCTCTGGAGAATTGTTTTGTTTTGTTTTGTTTTAAAGATTTTATTTATTCATGTACTAGAGACACACAGAGAGAGCAGAGACACACACAGGCAGAGGGATAACTAGGCTCCATGCAGGGAGCCCGATGTGGGACTCAATCCCAGAACCCCAGGATCACGCCCTGAGAGGGAGGCAGCCGCTCAACCGCTGAGCCACCCAGGCGTCCCTTGTTTTTGTTTTTAAAGCATACAATCAACAACTGGGGTAGATTAAGACCATGAGTTCTGTTTCACCTTCTTTGGATGACGATATCCATAGTTTTCAAAGCTTTGGCTCTGCTGCTGCCTTTGGTCTTACTGGTCCACAGGACTTGGGCCTATTGATAGATAGTATTTAGGGATCTACCTCTCCAACTCCTGAGTAGGAGGAGGGCCCTTTTCTCAGTTTTCTCACCAACTAGATGAGATTTCTCTTAAGTTTTTGTTGTATGTGCCCTCTACAGAGTTTCCCTAATGGCACTAATCTTCTGTCCAAGCCAGGAGACAAAAGACGGGGGAAAAGTAACAGGAAATCATCCTGATATAGCTTACTTCTTAAAGTTTTATTTCTCCAGTCTGCTTGCCTTTATTTACTTTGTAGAGTACTTAGATCGCTGCTTTTTGTATTCATGGGGAGAGAGAAGTTTAGTGGGTTTATTTCATTTTAACTGACCACATTTTGTTTTTAATTGGCATTTTAAAATAAAGAAATGTAATTTTTAAATATCTGTGGCTTAAGTCAGTTGTGGCAGTTTTTATTTTCTGTTGGTAAAAGTTACTTGATCCTTAAAACGTCAGATTCTATAATAGAAGAATTTTATAATTGCTAATTTTATTTTTGTTTTATTAAGTTTTTAATTTAATTTAATTTTTTAAAAGATTGTATTTATTCATGAGAGACACAGAGAGAGAGAGAGAAGCAGAGACACACACAGGCAGAGGGAGAAGCAGGTGCCATGCAGGGAGCCTTATGCGGGACTTGATCCTGGGTCTCCAGGATCACGCCCTGGGCCAAAGGCAGGCGCTAAACTGCTGAGCCACCCAGGGATCCTTAGTTTTTAATTTTAATTCCAACATAGTTAACATAGAGTGTTATGTTAGTTTCAGATGTACAATATGGTGATTCAACAATTCTGTACGTTACTCGGCACCCATCATTGTAAGTGTACTCTTTAATCCCCATCACCTGTTTTATCCATCTTCCCACCTACCTCCCCTCTGGTAACCAGTTTATTCTTTATAGTTAAGAATCTGTTTTTAAGTTTCTTCCTCCCCTTTTTTCCTTTGTTTTGTTTCTTAAATTGCACACATTAGTGAAATCATAAGGTTAAATACCTTATGATACTGTCTTTCTCTGACTGAATTTCACTTAGCATTTATAATGTCTAGCTCCATCTGTATTGTTGCAAATGGCAATATTTCATTTTTATGGCTGAATAGTATTCCACTGTGTGTGTGTGTGTGTGTGTGTGTGTGTGTGTCCATACACACCACATCTTTATTCATTCATCTATTGATGGATACTTGGGAAGCTTGTTAATTTTAAATGTGGAAGAATGTAAAGCATCTCTTTTGGACAGAACAAACAGTGTTCATTTCTGTCTTTGTTATTCACTTGGCTAACACAGTTGATTAAAATAGACACAGATACACGTACCTTTTCAAAGAAAAAGTTTTGTGAATGGGTCTGAAATACCAGAAATTAATAAAGTAAAACTTGAAATTTTAGGACTTGTGAAATAATTGTCTGAATTAGCTATCTCTTTCAAGAATGTAGAAAGGAATGATAATTTTTATCAGTACTTTATTCAAATTATGAGCTATACTATCTTTTTTTTTTGAGCTATACTATCTAAATTCATTATAGCTTTTCCTTTGAAAAACAAGTGAAATTTTGATTGTTTCATGATTTCATTCACATAAAGACATAAATTTACTGATTTCACTTATAAGATCAGTTTCTGGTTAAATCATTTAGAGAAATATGTTTAAGTGAATTTTGGTTTGAAAAGATTCATTGATATATAAATATGCAAATTATTTGATATGCAGATATACATACGAATTTAAAGACATACTAAAGTTTGGAAAGTTTATAAGAAGACTAGGAAACTATTTGTGTCCATTGTATACCTTTATGATTTTATTGTAAAAATGTAAGTTTAGTTTTTGCATTGAAGAACCATTTCGAGGGATCCCTGGGTGGTGCAGCGGTTTGGCGCCTGCCTTTGGCCCAGGGCGCGATCCTGGAGACCCGGGATCAAGTCCCACGTCAGGCTCCCGGTGCATGGAGCCTGCTTCTCCCTCTGCCTGTGTCTCTGCCTCTCTCTCTCTCTGTATGACTATCGTAAATTAAAAAAAAAAAAAAAAAAGAACCATTTCGAGTGTTTTGTTGCAGCTTTCATATATAAATATATAAAACCTGTTTGTACATTAAAGTGGCAAATTGGACTGTAGGGTTGCATTCTTTATTGACATTTTTGTTCAAAATGTCACATAAGTAGGGAGGTGATTATAGTTGGCCTTTGAAATATCTTTCATCTTTATGTGTAACAGTGTTTGGATCTTTGGTTGAAATTTGGACTCTGTGGTCCTTCCATTAAACTCTGTATGAGATTTATGGCTTGAATTAAATAAGGAGAGAATTGAGTTGTAAAAATGATAGACCTGGGTCCATTCTGAAAGCATTTAAAATGTATCATTAAGTTATTAGAATTGGAAATTTTTCTAATTTTTGAAATTGACTTCCCTCCTCCCTTTAAATTAGGTGCTCTGTGGATGTGTATAGTTTTAAACCCCCACTGCAAATTGGAGCAGAAGGCCAGTTGGCTAAAACAGCTGAAAAAGTGGAACAGTGTTGATGTCTGTCCATGGGAAGATGGAAATCATGGCAGTGAATTACCCAACTTAACCAATGCTTTGCCTCAGGGTGCAAATGCCAACCAAGGTTAGTCTGCAGTAATATTCTGCTCACTTTGTATTTGCTTAATTGTAGATATATGCCTATAATAATAACTTATATGTAGGAAAATTATTTGCCCACTAGAACTTAGTACAATTTAAGGACTTGATGTTTTGAATATGAACGTATGTATTTTTAATTTTTACCTGATCCTTTGTGTGTGTGTTTTCATATTAGGATACAGATGGATATTATACTTTTATGTATTAGTATGTGTTATAATTCCCTATTAATTATTTACTTTGGGAAATAATGTAAAAAGTCATGGAATAGGGTGGTAATATATTACCTTGTAAAAAAACTAAATATCGAGAGGCTTGAAAACTGTGTGTTTTTATCGCTGTTGGTGCAACCCAATTTGTATTTGAGTTACTGTGTAATTTGATCAGTTAAAAATTGTTAGTTTTAAAATAAAGCAAGTAAATGTTTATGACTGTGCTGGAGGGGCATGGGATGCTATTGGCTTTTGAAGTAGGAAAATTCTTTATTGTAAAGGATTGTTCAGCATACTTGTTCCCACCTACTATAAGCTAGTAGTGCTCTCCAGTCTTGGGGACAACTGAGAGATGCTCTCAGACATTTCCATATGTCCTCTTATGCTGTTTTTCTCCAGCTTCTCCTTTTCTGTTGGGTCTACCTATTTAGCTCAAGTTCTTCTCATCTTCAAAAAAAACCCAAATCTTTCCTTGGCCTCATTTTCCTTTCCAGCTACTATACTATTTTCTCCTCTCTTTCAGAACCAAGTCCTTAAGGAACTTAAGTCTTACAAATAAAATTTTCATTCACTTTTTCATGTCATTATTTATGTGTCTTTGTGCTCCTATTGCCCTTTTTGGGGTTCAGGGGAAGGGATGCTGTGGGGGATTTGACCGACTTGAACGTTGTGATCCATGTAAGGTGGGAGTTACATTACACTGAAAGGATCCAGAACAAAGATTTTCATTCTGTATAGGCTGGCCCTGTATGGAGTTGGTATTACTAGAGAGAGCCAGACATTGTGTTGAGTATGAATGTTAGAATAGTGTTTTCAATCCCTACAAGAAAGAAAATGAGATGTATCACTCCACAGGGATTTGTCTAATCAAAAAGAAGTTTTAGGACTTGGAAAAGTTGATTATCTGGCCTTGCTTTGTCTGGAAATATAGGTCTTGGGAATTTAGTATTTTTATTGCCCGTGATCATTTTGTTTAATAATTTCAAAGAAAATTAGTTTATCCCAGTTTTCTTCCAGAAGCTTAGGATTTTCAAGTTCAACAATTCAACATTTATTTTCTTCCATTGCTAGGAAAGTGTTTCCCTATACATAGGTAATTACTTTAATCTCCTTTTCCTTAACTATATTTGGAAGTTTCACTCTCACCTGCTTTTTGTACTGCCATCCTAACATTTTACAGTTTACTATTTTACTTTGCATCTGGTCACTTTCCCTTTGATTAAACATAAATATTCCATAGGCTTTGGAGAACTTTTAAGAAAGTGGTCTAGACTCCAGATGAAACATGTTATTTTGTGTATGGTTTGGTCTAAGCATAGAAGTCAGAATCCATTCTAAGGGCAACATTTCTCACTGTTGGGACTGAAGGCACCAGGGTTCCTGTCTTTAGCAGAATATCCACATCCTCCAGCAGAAGAGACATCTCTACAGAGGGACTCTGATGTTTAGCCTGCAGTACTTCTGATGGAGTACTGAGTAGGCTTGGTAGGGGAGAGTCTGCGGTAGCCAGCAGAGCCCAGCTGCCACACATTGCAGCTGGGTAGAGTGTGTACATGACATAGGCCGTGGGCAGAATTGGTTGTGTTGGCACATTGGAGTGAATATTTAGGGGGAATCAGGCCTTGTCTTTGCTAAGGTTATTTGTTAGAGTTAATTAACAACAACAGCAACATTAAAATCTACACTCTGAAAGAGTAGGGTTTTTTTTACATATGCCAGAATGATAGCCAATTTTTTTATTTTAATTTTTTGATAAAAGAGCTATTAGTTTCTCCCTTTTTATATTTCTGAATTTCCCAAATTTTCTTTTATCAGCATGTATTAATATTATATCTACTTTATTCAAGATTTTAAAAATAAATTTGTATATGTATCATTTTGAAAATTTGGGGTTTTTTTCCATCTTGATGCAAAAGTTTCCAAAAAAAATTTCATTTCTTTTTTTCATCTTGTTGCAAAAATTAAAAAAAACCACAAACCTACAAACATGTAAAAAAATTGACTATAATTTCAATGCTAATCAAATTTTGTGTATCTTCGTTAATCATTGTCTATGTACATAATCTTTATTTCCCATGTTATTAGAGACTAGCTTACATTTTCATTTAGTTATTATTTCATTAGTATTTAGCCTTTTCTTCTTTTTTTTCTATTCAGAGGAGCTAAAATACTTAGCCTTTTTTGTTGTTGTTGTTAGAATTGGTTTTATTGATCTTATGTAGCTAACCACCATTCAAAGTGTGGTGTATTCCTACACCTTCTCTTTGCTCCTACAATTACATACAAACATGTGAGAAGTTAAGGGTTTTGCTTTTTTTTTTTCAAATGGAGTCATGGTCTACCACTTTTTTATTATTCATTACCACAGTGAGCCAAATTGAGAGGTAGAACTCTAATTTTTTAAATACATGCATAATACTAAGATGCTTTTTCAAGGTCTCCTTTTAGTTTTAAGTTCTGTTTCCGAAATGACAGAGCCACTTAAAATGTGTAAAATTTGAACTTGGGAATATTTTAACAAATGACAGTGAGAGGTCATGGAACCAGTTTCTTGTCAGGTAGGACTATCTTTGCTCAGCAGAAAGCCCTGATAGATTCAAAGGCCCTTAAATGTAGGGCCACTCCTCCTGTTTGCAAGGTGTGCTCCCCTGTGTACTAGGCAAGGGCCATAAGAGATCCATGCCTCTCAAATCATGCTGTCATACATTTTGATATGTCTCCCATTCAAATACAGATGTCTAAGTTGACCTGAAGCCAAGCTGGAGTAATGTCTCTTACCTGTTAAAGACCTCTCAAAGCCTTTCACAACAACTGAAATAGCTGAATTTAGAGCGTGGATATTTATGTCTTGATTTTCACTGCCATTGCCTGGCCATGTGACCTTGGCAAGTCATGTCACTTCTCTTGGTTTTCAGTTCCATCTACAGAATTAGAGGAGTTGCACTTGACAATTTCCCAGAGTTCTCATTTTGGTTGTTTTTTGGGTTTTAAGATTCCCTTTTTGCCTTTGTCTAGCCAAGGCTCCAGTTTGCTTCTCATTGAGTTAGGCCTCAGTACAGTGAGGGATAATACTTAAGCAACAGAAAATACACATAAATAAGCATAGTTTGTTACCCTGATTTTTCAGTTGAGGCTCGCTAAGGTTTGTGCCACAGTTGAAGGTAAGCCTGGAGTGGAGACCCAAGGGGTGGGATTGTAGTTACAGTATTTGAACCCTGTTATCCACAAGAACTGAATAATCCCAGAAGTTGGGATGAGAATATTCTTTATTCCCCAAACATTTCTTTTCTCCGTCAGGTCCTGAAACTTGAATCCTCTTCGGAGTGTATGCTTCTGCTCTTTTGTGATGCCCCGGCATACACTATGCTGGGGACATCACACCAGTCATGGAACCTGCACAGGAGTCAGGAGGCAGCCTGTAGGGGCAAGGTAAGTGCGCTGGTTTGTTTTGTAGCTATGTTGTGTGGCTTTGTGAAATGTTAAATATATGCATTTATGCCCTTTGGGATATAAAGTGGCATTTAATCATTATATCCCAAGAAGCATAATAGTTTTAATTGTGCAAAACCGCACAATATAGTTAAAAAATACAACCAAAAGCACAACCCTTCTGCATATCTTTAAAGGCTGATTGCATCTTCCTGAAAGGTTCCATGGCTGGTGTCGCATCTCTTGCATAGTGTTTGTGAGAGCTGTTGATCCCATCAGGGCAGCCCACCACAGCACCTCAGAAGTGGGGAGCAGTGAGTTTTCATGTGATTTTTGTGCCGAGTGCCTCCTCTGAGTGTATTTGGCATGGAAACTAGACTTGACACTTCTTTTTGCAGGATGCCTTTAACCTTAGCTTTGATGGCTGCAGAGTGTTTGTGTTTGATAAAACAAGTGAGTGGATGGTGGCTCTTTGGGCTGACTTGCCTACTTAGTACTTTAGGACATGAGAATATTCACCCTTCATCCTTCTGCTTAGGGGGTGCAGGATAGTGTGTGTGGGTGTGCTCATGAACATCTGGCCACAGAATGGTATGACTGATTTATTTACATGTGAATAATAGCTGACACGGCTTTCTGAATTGTGGAAAAAACAGATTCATCGAACAGGCCACATCGGACAGTGTTCACCCGAGCCATCGAGGCATGCGATCTCCACTGGCAGGATAGCCACTTGCAGCACATTATCAGCAGTGACCTATACACCAACTACTGTTACCATGACGACACTGAAAACTCCCTCTTTGACTCCCGCGGGTGGCCCCTCTGGCATGGTAAGTGGCCAAACCGGAAAGACATTTCCATGACTTACTTCTTTGTTTCGTTTCTATAGCATTATTGGAGTGGGAGGTGGAGAGTTGAGGGATTCAATGGGAGATGGATGAATGCTTGGCAGTAGGAGCTGAGCGTTTCATTCAAATCCAAGTTCAGAAATGGTTCCTTGTGTCTTTTTAATAGTATTTTGGGGGAAAAACATCTTACTACTTAAATGCGATTTTTGTAGATCTGTCTGACGATGGCAACTTTCTCCCCTTAACTTTTTGTTTTAGAACACGTTCCTACAGCTTGTGCAAGAGTGGATGCATTACGTTCTCATGGGTATCCCAGAGAAGCACTGAGATTAGCAATAGCTATTGTTAACACGTTAAGACGACAGCAACAGAAACAGTTGGAAATGTTCCGAACTCAAAAAAAAGGTGAATGTGAAGGAGTTTGTTTCCATTGGAATGGGATTCTTGGTGATGACATCACTAGATTTTGTCCCCTTTTAGAGAGATGGCTTTTAAAATTAGAGCAATGGAGATGACTTTACTCACTACTCATTTAGAATATTTCATAGCTGATCTGCAAGAAATTTTAGGCGTATTTTTTCCTGATTGCATGTGTATGAAATAAGATTCTAAAAAACATTTCTTAGGTTAGTTAATTCTTTAGGGGGATAATTTTTTATTGTTCAAGTAATTATTTAGTGTGTCTGAATTATTGAAAATGCCAGTTAGCCAATTCTCTGATTTTGTGAAAGTGCATTTTCGTTCTAACAGTAAGGGGTCTAGGGTCAGACTGTTTGACTCCTAGCCCTAGGTCCTAGCTGGCAGTGACGTGAAGCTCTGTGATTTAGATTCCTCATCTGTGGAATGGTCTTCAGTAGAGACTGGTCTCTTAGAGTTGTTGAAAAAAATTAAACTAGTTAATTCCTGTTAAACTCTTAAAAGAGCCTTGCATAGTGTGTAAGCACTCTAAAACTTTTTAGCTATAACAATTTGTATTTCAAGATATGGTATTTATTTTAAGTGATCAGAACTCCTGTATTTTTCAAATTCTGTAAATAACATTTGATGAACTGCCAACTGCCAACACATTTCAGTTTAACTTCTCTTTATCTTAGTTTACTATTAATCTTTTAAATTTTAAAGAAGTATTACTGAGTAATAATAGCATTTGCAGAGAGTTACATTACATGCGTAAGGGTCTGATCAGAAAAAGAAATATATATGCTTTTTCTGTTCAATCGATGCACTTCTTGTTCCTTCTATAGGTATAAATCTTTTTGTGTGTCTTTGATTAGGTTTGTTTTTTCAGTCTGGAGTTTTCTTATTCAGAGAGATATTTTTAGTAGCTGGGTTTTTTGGTGTTTTTTGTTTTGTTTTGTTTGTTTTGTTTTTTTTTTTAGTCCTGTTTTTGTTTAATTATACACACACCAAGGGTACAGCTGAAATTTATCAAGAGTTGTTGAAATGAGCTGAAGGTTAGAGTGAGTGAGTGTTGTAACTTTTAGTACCATCTGTCTGTATCAGAATTACTATAAATGTTAACTAACATTTAATTCACTTATATGATGAAAGAAAAATTTGAAGTTAAAATTTGAACCAGAAGAAGGGGAGCTCAAATGGAATTGGAATGTAATAATATCCTGGTGATCACTGTTGTGTTCATTTCTTCATGTTCTTCACAACATAACAGGTTACCAGATATGTTTGCAAAATATATTCCTTGAACCTTTGGAAATTTTTTTTTGCAATCACTCTTCCCCCAAACACAATCTATAGCCAAAAGGTAGCTACTTCTGCAAAATATGAAGGATAGTAATATTCAGGGTAAGAGAGGGTGAGGTACTTTTTATACTGCAAAATTAAAGCTAGCTAGGTTAGGATGATTATCAGATTTTAAAATCATAAACTTTTTAAAGAAATGTTTTTAAATGAAAAATATTACAATATCTATGAATTGAAAGTGTAAAAAATGTTAGTTTGTGTAACTGAATTAAAATACATGTTAAGTTAGACTCCTTTAATTGTCTTTGAAACCACTCTTAGACCCATTTCTCTTTTATCTTATGAGGAGTGAAAAGTTATTTCAGGCTACTCTTAGGTACTACTGTCTCTGTACCTTTATCTCTCCCTCTTTTTTACTTTTTTGTCCATATTTAAAGAATAGGTTTTTCACAGCTGTTATAATTCCAAATTGCTATGACAATTATTTGTTATGTGGTCAAGATTAGTAAGTATATACCTTGTACATTTTCAGTACTATTTGGCATAATATGTCAGGTTTTCTTGTTGTTAATTGAGATATAATTGATGTATAACATCATATTCAGGTATATAATAGAATTCTATTTATATATTTCAAAATGATCACCACAGTAAGTCTAGTTATTATCTGTCACCATACATGATTACACTTTTTTTTCTTGTGATGAGAACTTTCAAGATTTATTCTTAGCAACTTTCAAAAATAGAATACAGTATTGTTAACTATAGTTGTCATGCTGTACATCACCATGACTTGTTCATTGTATAAGTGGAAGTTTGTACCTTTTCCCCGTTTACTTCTTTTCACCTACATCCACCCCTGCCTCTGGCAACTATCAGTCTGTTCTCTGTATCTAGAAGCTTTTTTTTTTTTTTTTTTTTTTTTTTTACTTATGATAGTCACAGAGAGAGAGAGAGATAGAGAGAGGCAGAGACACAGGCAGAGGGAGAAGCAGGCTCCATGCACCGGGAGCCCGATGTGGGATTCGATCCCGGGTCTCCAGGATCATGCCCTGGGCCAAAGGCAGGCGCCAAACCGCTGTGCCACCCAGGGATCCCTTGAGTTTTTTTAGATTCCACATTAAAGGGAAATCATATGGTATTTGTCTTTCTTTGTCTGACTTAAGTTTACTTAGCTTCTTGATTTTGAAAAAAAATTCTTCTCCTTTTTGAAATTTATTTCCCTCATTTTTGTGTTGTTTTCACTAAGTTTTGTGTGGAAAAAAAATAGAGGAAATACCTCATAAAATTTGCTCTGTTGTTTCCATTGCTTGTAATAGATTTATGTAACTACAACACTTCCTTTCACCATATAGATTTATACACACACACACACACACACACACACACACACACACACATTGTGCCAGGCTTCTTCACTGTTATGTACTGGTAGTTGATAGTCCAAAACCAGAAGACTTCTAAAAGAATATTGGATTCATGGAATGGTTCTTTAGCTATTTATAAAAAGCCAGTATTTGTCTTGGATATTTTATATTGTTTATAGATTTCATTATATTTCCCTTTAAGAAGAAGCTACTATTATTTATTTAGTAAATATTTGGATGTAAAGCATTGCATTCTTTACGAAAAGAAACATATCTTAAAATATTTATAGCTTTTTTTCTCAGGACTTTACAATTTAACTTAAGGACTTTGAAAGTGCTACCATTCTGCAAAGAAAATGAAAAGGATGTTTTATCCAAATTATATGTTACCTTCTGCTATAGTTTCCCTTTGTGGCAAAGGCCCTCACTTAAATGGCGTACAGATCCATGATAATTAGGCCTTCCATAGGTGCAAAGGGAGTAGTTTAATGATATCCATAGGGGAATCTAGATTGGACCCAGGTTACTGCTGCCTTCTGATCTCCGGTGTAGAGGACTTAGTGAACATTGACTTTAAGGTTATCTTCTTAATATAGTTAGCAAGTGATCATTCCAGGGAGACTTCCTAGTCTTCTCTAATGCCACTTTTGGGAAAGTGAGGGAAGTGGTTCCTCGCTTCTCAGGTGAAAATTTGGAACTTATTTTTCCTCATACAACATAGTTTAATAGCATAAATAGGTTAACCCAGTACCTTAGGCACATGAATTAATGTTTGGGGGCGGTCCTGGAAAATTGACACTATTTATACTGATTTACAGATGAACTCTGTTATGAGCACAAAATAGTTAACGTGTTAGGGATTATGTGTACCTAATTGAATTCGTACTAATTTGTTAGAATGCCACTATTAAATGGTAAAGCCTCTCATCTTCTACTTGTCTCCATCTCTCAATTCCCTTTTCTTACACAGAGCTACCCCATAAAAGCATCACTTCGATAACCAATCTCGAGGGCTGGGTTGGACACCCCCTGGACCCCGTGGGCACTCTTTTCAGCAGCCTCATGGAAGCATGCCGAATTGATGATGAAAATTTCTCTGGGTTCTCGGATTTTACAGGTAACACCAGTAGCATTCATCTCGTGTGCTTTTTTCCCCTTAAATCCTGAATGGCATTGGTCATTGTTTTTGTCACAGGTTGTTTTCTGAATCCATATAGTTACTAGTACTTATGGTTAGCAAGGGAGCAAGGAAATGGGTGCTCCTGTTGCTTTGTGGAGGCTTTATAAACTAGGAAAATTCTGTCTTAGAAGCAACAGTTGGCAGCATGTGTTAAGAACCTAAAAAATGTTTATTTTCTTCTAGCCATTGATTCTGCATCTGAGAATTTATCTGCATTTATGGCTGTTTTCCAGTCTCAAGATTTAAAATAAAGATGTGTATCAAAGCATTTAGAACTAGAAATTTAGTTGCTTTTTAAGTTTGTCTACATTAGAAGTTACTTGTCACTTAAATGGGTTGTAGTCTCCTGTAAGAGAAGTATCTAATGTCACTCAGAAGTGTTTTACATCACACATTCCTATAAAGCAGTGTTTTGAGATTTCTCTCTGGCCTCTTGAGACTGAAGAATCATCCCTAAAATGACTGCCCTTGGGCTGTGAGCAGAGGTTTGGGAGGCAGGAATGGTTGTCCCTCTGCTGCTCTCATACCTGGGTAGACTCAGAGGAGTAATTATATTGAGCCTCCATAATTTCTCCTGTGGTGTCTGCTTTCATGGATTATGGGTGCCCCAAACTCCTTCAGGATGGTGAAAGGTATGATTCTGAATTCACTTTCCTTGGGAGTTCAATGGTTGAAGTTTATTAACATTTCTAAGAGAAACACTTTAAGATAAGAGAATGCCCAAAGAATCATTCCTCTTTTGTTAACTGATGACTCTTTGATAACAGAAAGGACCTTGAAATTGGGTTGTGTCTGTTGTTTTCTCTACACTTCTCATTAAATTTCGACATAGTGGTAACAGTTTGGGAACTTTTTTTTTAATGCCAGGCTTTAAAAAATCAGCAACTGTTGTAGTCACTGTAATTTTGCTCTTGTCTAAAATCTTTTTTCACTCTTAAGTATTCTTACAATGTCTTCCTAGCTTTGTAGGGTTTTTCTGGTGATTCGTTTTCAGTGGGAGAAAAATATTTGTAATATTCCATCCCCCAAAACATACACATCTGGTCATTCACCGTCAAGTTTTAAAACATCTTAGAAAAACTATTCACTTTAACGTAAGAAACAATTTTCTGGCTTTCTTGGAATAAAGTCAATAATTCATTTATCAGTAGTGGGTAAAATAAATACTTATACCTATCATTACCTGGAAAAGTAATATCTGAACTCTGATTTCTTTTGTGACATTTTACAGAGAATATGGGACAGTGCAAGTCTCTGGAATACCAGCATCTACCTGCACATAAATTCTTAGAAGAAGGGGAATCCTATTTAACACTAGCTGTGGAAGTAGCCCTGATAGGGCTGGGACAGCAGCGTATCATGCCTGATGGGCTGTACACACAAGAGAAGGTTTGCCGGAATGAGGAGCAGCTCATTTCCAAGCTTCAGGAAATTGAATTGGATGACACACTGGTGAAAATTTTTCGCAAGCAAGCAGTCTTCCTATTAGAAGGTAGTGTGATATAGAAGTTTTCCACTTGTTCTGCCAATTTTATTGAGGCACAAGCTTTCTTATGTTGGGAGTATTGTTTGAATGCATTTGGTGTCGTAGTAATTCTGATTGGTATGGTCACTGAGTTGTCATGGGAATGTTTACTATCCAAAAAGTAGTATCACTTGATCAAAAAGTATAGTCAGATGTGTGTCTTTTAAGTGTTGCGTAAGATAGCATGTTAGAAATGAGCCCCATTTAATGCCACAAACTTTGAAAAAGACTGCTGTTATTTAGTCTGTGCCATTACTGAGATAAATGCAAGTTTGATACTTAGTGAGTTATTGCTGGTAGCCATGTATCTATTTGATTGACCAATTAAATAATGGAAAGGAAATTCGTTGGCATTCCTGTGAATTATTATTATGGCTATTACATGACATCCGGGTTTTGAATATGTCATTTGCACATGCTAGCAAAGGACTAGAGGCCCCAGGAATGGATTTCCACTGTACTAATTATTCCAGAGAATTCATTAGGCATAGATTCACCAAGTTCAAAGTTTCTTGGATTCTCTAAGGCAAAGTCTAATTTTCTTCTTTTTGTAAGGTCAAGAGCTGAATGGCCTAAGAAATTTTGGTTGGCATTATTTTTAAAAGGTGGTGGGGTTTTTTGTTTTTTTGCCTTTTTTCTAGAAAAGATTAATTAAGTATAATAGCCTCATCTTTTACTCAAATTTAGGGGATGCCTAATTGGTAAAATTGCTTCTATCTCTTCAGTCTATGGGTGTTATTATTGTGGGATTCTCTGTGATTGATAGTTGAATAAAGTGTGGTATCTTCAGAACTCTTGCATACGGGGAAGGGATTTAGAGAAAATAACATTTCACAACCTGTTTTATTTGTCCAAAGCTCAAGATCTCTTCGAAAGAAAATATTTTCATCAAATATATTATACATTTGTATGTTTTGGAAGTGCATTTTAAAGGGAACATACTCTTAGAAAAGTTAAAACATGTTAATATTATGCTTAATTTTGGTAAAATTCCTGATCATGTTTTGAAGCCCTTGCCTTAACTTTTTTTTTCTTCTAAAGATAAAAAAGCACATGTTGGCAAATTTCAAGTGATCTTCGTTCTTTCTTCGTTCTTGTTTTAGTTTCCTCCTATATAATTCCTTTTGATATAAGTATCATGAACCACAAACTTAGTGCTGTCACTGGCTATTAGTAACTGACTTTTGATTTCCACTGTACTTAAAGGATAGGAAGAGGATGTGTGCTTTTCAAAGTTGGTAGTATCTGATATCTGTTTATCATTTGCCTTTTTAAATGTTTCCATGTTCATTACTCATGAATATTTCACAACTGTTTCTTAGATTTTGATTAGAGCATTCATTGTTCCCCATTAAATATTTTTTTTAGAACTATGCCTGATAAGGAGTGCTTTTGACTCATTGCAGTCTCCTTTCCTTTCCTGATCCTATGAGGCTTGTAGAGAATGGCTAGTGCAGAACAGGAAGCAGTCCAAGGGGAAGCCAAGGGACCATTTCTGTAAACTCCCAAAAATAAGCACTCCATGGTTGAGTTGACTGCACTGGGGCACCAAGTTCTTCATGTATTTACACTCTGTAAATTTCAAGCGCAAAATAGCAGGCACTAACTCTTCTGAAATAAAAAATGCTTAACTTTTTCTGAAAAAGAAAAAGCAGTTGTCCTGTATTGTTGCTGTATGTTAATCACTTGACCACAATACAATACTAGCATATTGGGTCAGTTGGCATATTGGTAAAGCACTTTTGGGGAGTTCAGAGACTACACTCAATTACTAATCCACAAATAATTCTGTGATATCTGACTGAATATTTTTCTTGTTGGGGGATGTCATAACAATAAGTGTTGATTATTATGTCCTGGGTTTTTTATTTTATTTATTTATTTTTGCATAGCACAAAAAGGTAACTTGGTGACTTAAGGGAAACATTGAAAGGAAATGGAGGAGAAATGAAGGAAATGAATAATCTACAAGTTTTCTGTAATGAAGCCTTCAGTAAAATAGTTAGTGTTCTAGTCTGCCTGGGCAGAAATTTCTCACAGTTCTGGAGGCTGGGAAGTCAGAGGTCAAAGTGTTTGTCAGTGAAATTTCTGGTGAGCCCTCTCTTCCTGTCTTAAAATGTCTGTTTTCTCTTTGTGCTCTCAACACAGCAGAGGGGGAGAGAGAGCAAGAGAGCTCTCTGATGTCTGTTCTTATAAGGTCACTAATCCTGTTGGATCAGGGCCACATCCTGTGAACACATTTAACCTTAATTACCTCTGTGTAAAGGCCCATCTCTAAGTACAGTCACACTGGGAGTTGGGGCTTCAGCATATGAATTTGAGCAGGGAGAATAAACATTCAGTCCATAATAATAATCTAAAAATTTAGCCTTGTTATATGAACTAAAGGCAGAACTATAATGCTATATCAACCTTTTAAGAATATCGGGTCACTAAAACATTTCTAAATGTCTTAAAAATATGAAGAAGGTAATATATTTGGTAAAATTAGAAATCTAGGATGGATTTTACTTTGCCTAGGCAAAAAAATAAGGTTTTATGAAAATATGATTTTCAAAGTACTTAAATAATGGGCACTTGAAAAACACTAAACAAAAAATAAAATAATGAAATGTTAAAATAATCTCTGTTAAAATGATCTAGAATGTATCATGCTCCTACCCAGTAACTCCTCTCACCATTTGTTCTGAACTGCCATTTCTTGCATTCTAAACTCTTCACCAGACTGATTTTTCTCATGGAAAACAAATGTATTATGTCCTTTGAGCAGTAGTGTCATGGTTCATAATTCTAGAAATCATGAAACAGATGTTCCCCAAAGGTGACATGGAAACTAATTTATTAAACACTTTACAGTAACTAAACCTCAAAGTACCTAAGTGGAAAGTAGTTGAACTAACCACTGTGGTTTCCTTTCAAAATTTATTTTAAAATTCGGTATCGCCTTTCTTAGGGGCGGCATTCAGAGAGCACACAGGGGAAGTTAGCTCTGCTACCATGCCTGTCATAAGTTACTAAGAAATGAATTTTGACAGCTTAAATGTAATTTTGCTTTTGAAATTGGTCTTTTGGAGCCCCCGAAGTGGTAGATTTCCAGTTACTTTAATTTTTTTTCTTTGCCTATGGTGAGTATCAAATGAGTTACTAACTATTCTTTTATTATTAATCACTTTCTGAGAATTAATATCTATTTCTGCTTATTAGAAGCAACAGTATTTAAAGTCTTTGTATTGGAATTTGTGGTTTAGATTCCTCCCCTGAGGCAGAGCACTCTTCTGGAAACCTGGGCTTGTCTGTGCCCATAAGACTGATTGGGTCCAGGGGCAGATTCCAAAGTTAAGCTGCAGAGTCATCTATGCATTTGAAAATCTGTATGCTCAGATGTCACACATTGAGAAAGGATGTCTCAAATTCAGTGAGATTTTTGTGTTTCAGAGGGTTTCTTTCTCTGAAACAGTTATAATATGAAAAAGCTCTGCCCCCTAGTTCTGTGATTCTCATTTTAACTATGTTATAGTTAGTTGGGGGGTCGTTCCTGAAATGAATTCAATACTGAATACTATTCCCTATAGAATGATTTTTGACTAAGAATTGTATTTTTTTCTACTATGTCACTTTGATTACATTCTTAACTAGATTAGCTTGTGTATGTTATAACTTTACATAAAAATTTTAAAAATATAGTTTACAAGAAGTCTTAGTTCCTTTCTTAGGAATGTAAAATGTGTATGCTCTCTTCCCACAGCCGGACCATATAGTGGTTTAGGCGAAATAATCCATCGGGAGAGCGTTCCAATGCACACATTTGCCAAGTATCTCTTCACCTCTCTCCTACCTCACGATGCTGAATTGGCATACACAATTGCCCTGAGAGCAATGCGGTACGTATTCACGGCCCAGCCGGGCGGAGGCGACCCAGATTCCCCATGGGGAAAAACAGCTCTTAACTGACTTCTCACTCATTCGTATTTCTTGTAGGCAGCACAAAAGCTTAAGAAACTATTTATACTTCTTGGATTGTTGTAGTAGTGGTTTGTTTGTTAGTTGGTCTGGCTTTTGTTTTACAGTAAAGGAAGAATTCTATCCTAGACTGGTCATGATGGCTTTTTTTCTTACTTTTCTTGATGCTAGAATTTGGGAATTAGAGAACAGTTTCAGGCCAGGTTTAAACACAAGGGAGCACCAGTTGAAACCTTCCTGAATAATTGATCCTTTTGAAAAAATTAGATTAGAAACAGTGGTAAATATTAAGTATACTTGACTGAATGTGATCCCTTAGGGAGCCCTTCACACCTGCTGTAATTCCATGGTCCATCCATCATTAGTGCAAGGAGGCTGTAGGATCATGGAAGCACCTTTGGGCTCACTTGGAGGGCAATGGAAGATGGGATCAGAGGCTAGGGTTAAAGGTATCACTATCAGGCATCTTTAGGACCTGCTCTCCTCACTCGGACTGCTCCCAGCCCCTCCTTTTCAGTAATAATAATTAGAATATGCTGTTCACTGCCCTTGACCTTGTTATTTTCACTTTCCTTTTTAAAGTCTATTCACAAAAAAATAAATAAAATAAAATAAATAAATAAAGTCTGTTCACCAAATATTTTTATCATGAGTTTGCCTAGGTGAATATTTTTTAACGAATTCAAGATTAAATTTTTGAATCTTACATGTTGCCTTTTAAACCTAAAGGACCTGAAAGGCTTATCTACCTTTCTTAAAGTGTTTTAAAAAATTAAAACACTCCTATGTTAAAGTGCAGATTAGATCCAGTTATAGTCAGGTCACCAAAGGTAAACCATGTATACACCCAAGAGCTTGAGATGTCAAAGACCAGTTTGACCCCATAGAATCTTGTCACCAAAGATTCTTTGTCTGCAACCAGTATAGTGGATTCAAAAGAAAGTCTTGCCACTATGAGGGTAGCTTATATTTTTCAGGGGGCCTCTTTTTTATGCAGTGTGTGTGTGTGTGTGTGTGTGTGTGTGTGTGTGTGTGTGTGTGTGTGATAGAGAGAGAAAGGGAGAGAGAGTGTGTGTGTATGTGTGAGAGAGAGAGTGAGAGAGTACATATACCTATGTGTATGTCAGTTTGTAGTGAGACTGACATCCTTTAACTTGGCATTCTTTCCTTGGCACCATGAAATCTCATTAACCCATCAGAGAGGCCTTGTGAAGCTCTTGCTTGTCTGTTTTAAAAAATATCCCCAAATAAATTAATAAGTAACATAAGTAAACCCTCCACACATACTAAATTACTTTATGCCCCTTGGTTTATATTTTAGGACACAGGTTTTTTTAAGTTCCTATTCCCATTTTTGGAAGCTGAAATAGAAGCTGTCAGACGAAGACAGATGCTCAGCTCTATACTTACTTAAATCATAAGAATTTTGCTCCTGTTGTAAAGGGAAGGAATGCTAATGTTATGATGCCACCAGATGCTATTGCTGTGACCACTGTAAAGTTTAAGGATAAAATATCATGAGGTTTCTCTGTGATTCTGGCTTATGGGAAAGTATCTGTCAGGTGGAAAGGTTTGCTTTTCTAACACACGGAAACGTATTTGTCCTTGGTTGCTGCCAAGGCAGTTTGTTCATGGGGGATACTAGTAGGGCACCAGGGGATTATTTTCCACCTCTTTTCTTGACTTGCCCCTACCTCTGCTACCGGACAGCCATGGAAGGGGGGTAGCAGACCTACTAGGGCATCTGAAGGGAGCCAGGGGAACGGGCAAGAAGAGAGACCAGTAGCTTACTTGCTTCATAGTCTTCCTGCAAGTGGGAGAGGGGTTGGGGAGCTGGAAAAGGGTGTTTTTAGCACTCATATTCTCATCTTTTCAGGGCTCTTAACTAGTTTCTGCTGCAGCAATTCTGGAAAGATCTGCCGGTGAACACAGGGACAGTCTGGGGTTTTTGAAAAGTTAAATAGGAACTCCACCAAAATTCTTATTACCTAATTGCCTACCTTGCCACCCTTTAATGCTAATTTCTCTTTGTCCTTAGCTAAAAAGAAAAGAAAATGAGGCATTTGGCCTGCTTTACTGCTCTCTGGTGTGACCCCAAGGCCCAGCATCACACTCTGGCCGTGTTAATTCCTCTTGATCCTTAATTCTTATTCCATAGGCCCAAACACTAGTATCCTTGAGTTAAGGTCAGCTTTTTGATGATTGTGAAGGAATAATTGTAGTTGTAGCTACTCTGTTAATCTCTTCAGTACTTATATTTGGGAGAGATTGCTAAGCACGGGCTTTGTTTTCAGTAATTGTTCTTTATTTGTTGGCATATTCTTAATCATAGATTGATTAAAATCAGATCACGCTGAATTTTTGCAAGGCTGTCAAAGTACAAATACTTGGATAGTTTGCATTTATCATCTCTGATAGGATTGATACAACATGTTCTAATTATAAATTCTTAAAGTAATAGGAACTAATTTTGCAGAAAGTATGAATCTATGGAAAGGAGTCCATTTTTGTTTAGCTTCCCCTCTTATTTTGTGTTTTAATGAGTTAGCTTATCCATTTCAGCTATCTACTGTTCCCTCACTGTTTTTATCTCAGTCTTAGGTATTCACTTGACTACAAGCTTCTGTTTTTATTTTTTAATGAGTGATAAAATTCAAAAATTTTACAGTAGGTGAACTCGTCATGTGTTTCAGATCTCTTCGGTGTTACGTATCTTGATTTCCTTGAATCTTGCAGTTTTTTTGAATGATGCTAAAGAAAAGAAATCTCTTAGGTTTGGGTACTGAGCAATTAACAAGGTGACTTTGGCATCCAGATAGCAGAGTGTAGCTGTACCAGCTCTTCCTGCACAAGGACCTGAACAGTTTCTCCCAGCATCTACCCACTCATCTGCCTTCTCACCAGATCCTGTGGCCAAGGTGATGCACAAGGAATAATTAGGAGCCAACTGTCTTGTTTTCTCATTACAGGTTGCTAGTATTGGAATCTACTGCTCCAACAGGAGACCTCACCCGCCCACACCATATTGCATCAGTTGTTCCCAACCGATATCCTCGTTGGTTCACTCTAAGCCACATAGAATCCCAGCAGTGTGAGCTGGCGTCCACCATGCTAACTGCAGCCAAAGGTACTCAATTGTCCCGAGACCTCATGATTATTTTGTTAGTTTGCCCCCTTTTTTGTTTTTAAAGAATCATGCTACCAAATTATCAATAGTGGTGCCAATGTCCAGTTGTGGGGGATCCTTTTCCTTAGATGTTAGCTTATGAGGTAAAACGGGTGCTACTCACTTGAGCCTGACATTTCCCTCTTTTCATTGTATCATTAAAGTTGGTGCTGGCTGAGTTTAGGTTTAGATACCATGTCATGTCAGTAGTGGTTCTGGTTTCAGAAATAGGTTAGTTTACATTTTTTTTTAATCCTCTCTGAAAAAATATTCATCAAAAATACATAATAGGAACTAGGAGGGCTTTTTGCTATCTCATGTTGGTTCTGGTTAATATGTACTAGTAGTCAGTAAGGGTGTGTCTCAGTGTATCTTTTTTGTGAAACAGATATATAGGCATTGCAGTAGCTCTGGGACACTTAGCTGTAGTAACAGTTGTGCCATATGTGAACATTTCAGGTAAATTAACTTGTGCTTTATGTCTTGTTTTGTTTCTCTTTTTCTCTCTCTGTGTGTGTGTGTGTGTGTGTGTGTGTGTGTGTGTGTGTTGTGGTGGTTTGATTTTTGGTTTGGTTTGGTTTTCCCTTATTTGTTGCAGGCGATGTTCGAAGGCTGGAAACAGTATTAGAATCCATCCAGAAAAACATTCACTCCTCATCCCACATCTTCAAGCTTGCCCAGGATGCATTTAAAATAGCAACTCTCATGGACAGTTTGCCAGACATCACTCTTTTGAAAGTATCTCTGGAATTGGGCCTGCAGGTACATGACTGGTGGTCTTTCCCGGGGCACCAAGGACTGCTAAATAAAGGTGCCATCTAAGGGTTGAAACAACCCTGGATATTTTAGTGTAGCCCCATGACTCTTGAGTGCACAGAACTGTTAGACTTTAGGAGAGCACTGTGCTTCAGAGCCGTGGACATCCCCAGCCGAACCAGATTGCCGCCTGAGGTGCAGGGGCTGCACTTTAGAAGCCCTATTTTTGTCCTTCAATAAAAAAAGTCATTTTCTGAATTATAGCCTTAACATCACTATTTCTCTGTTAGTGAATAGAAGCGATTATTGCTAGAAAGGGACTTAAGGGAAACTATTGTGTATAATAAAGAATCAGTTGTTGGGGTTAAAGTTTTAGAGGAATTGTGAATTTTTATTGGTGTTTGCATGTTCATAATAGATGGGCAGCTCTAGCTCCTTTTTATAACCCTGAGAAAATTAGTTAAAGGGGGAGTGATGGGTCAGGGTCCAGTTTCACCTTTCCACAGGCCTGCTTAGATGTTTTACCAAGGACATTTTGAGTTAGTCATATAGGCAGATGTTTGCTTCCTTATAGTCTCTAAAAAGAATTACTGTATAAACCAGAAACTGAGAAGTCTTTAGTTTGATTTTTCTAAGGAATTCTCTTTTTTCCATTTGCTTTTTTGGTTACCATTAAAAGCAGTGAAAGAAATTGTTTTCCAGTTACCTTAAGTATGAGGAATAGAATGCCCTGATTAGATGATTAATCTTTTTTTAGTTATGGATTCCCCTTATGATGATTAATAAAGTTTAAAGAATTAGATTACAGGAAAATGCACTTACCCTATATAGTACTGTACAAGCAGAGGTATTTAAGGTATACAGTGACATTTGTGCTATTTGGCTTATTGTTGTTATCATTGGCCTCTTAAAGATATATGCAGAAAGAATCATTAACAAGCTTTCTGGTTATTTGGAATTTGGGCAGATTTTTTTTTTTTTTTTTTTTTTTTTTTGTAAATGGTAGATTACTGAGAATTTAGTCCCTGTCTTATTCTTTCTACGACCCAAGGAAGAATCCTTGCTGAGACTTTAGGCATGTTATATCCCAAATGTTCTGAATCTTAAAGAGTGGGGGAAACAGGAAAAGATGAATGATTTATTTGGGGATCTTACTAGAAAATGAAAAAATCAGACAACTAATGATGTCAAAAATGGTCTCTTTCCCTAGACCTGGGGTTATCTTCATGCTCACCAGGAAAAGGAGCAACCAGAGATTGAAGGAATAATTAAGATGATTATTCTAAGAGATCTCTTTGCCAACTGAGGGCTACTAGTCGGAATTTGTTCATGAGGAGCCTCAAAAATCTAGAACCATAGAATTTGTTAAAGCTGGGGAGAAGAGGGCATAGACTGTGCTTAATGTTGCAGTCCAGCCCTCTCATTCTGCAGATGAGAAAAGTGATTAATTGAGCACCTTGCCCAGGATGCTGCTTCTGCTCACTCGGCCCACCTGGAGTAGAATGTGGGCCTTCTGTCTCCTAGTCTGGGGAGCCATGAACAAATCCAAATTGATATGCAGAACTTTGCTGTAAATGTGGCTATCTGTCCTCCGGGTAGTAGGGAATATTCCTAGTCGTTTATGCCTTGGGATGAATTGTTTCTTTCTTCCCTTGACCTAGAATAATCTTCAGAAACGTTTTGTTTTCCTATCTTTATAGGTTATGCGAATGACACTGTCAACCTTAAATTGGCGACGGCGGGAGATGGTGAGGTGGCTGGTAACGTGTGCTACTGAAGTAGGTAGGTAAATTCTGGAGGAGGAGCTCTCCCAGCTGCCTCATGGTTGGATTTAACTCGTCATTTACAAACACAAGAATGTTTTCTCTCTTTTACCTTGACTTCTCCAAGACTCCCTGCTCCTTCTAGCAACCTGCAAGGTCTTCCTTTCCCCCAACCACTGCCTCCAACCTTTAGTTTTACACACTTGCATTGTCCTTCTTCCAGACTGTCACATTTGTGGGGTTTTAGACTCTTGTTTAAAACTGAGTAAGTCACTGAGTAGACACTTCTTGCAAGGTTCTATCACTCTTAAGGTGCTTTTTAGTCACTTTTTGTGATAATCAGGTTTATAATTTTATTTTAAAGAGTTCCAGAGTGAATCCCTAAGTGGGTTGGAAACCACCTTTGAAACTAAGTTGAACTGTGGTTTAGTGGTTTCATTTCATTTTAATGAAAATAATATAAAGTTATCTAGTTGTGCTGAGATTTTTCTTCATCATTTGAGGGCATATGTCATCGTATCCATCAGATAGATGATTACTGGGTGTGGTTTAGTTGAGCTTTCAGGTGTGGGAAAGCTAGGCATAAGAAGATCCTCTTGGTTGCCCATAATCTGCATTTGGTGAGACCGTCAACCAACTATTTCCCCTCTGTAGTGGTAAATCAGTACCAAAGAAAACATTTCCAGTAGGAATGCCAACGAACAAAATGGTGGCTACTTTAAATAAATGCTGGTTAAATTGTCTCTCTTTCTGTTTGTATCAGAAAAGGGTACGCTTTTCTTGCTGAGAGGACACCCCACCTCAGTTTTTAAATACTGTAAAGTCATTCTTGTTTTTTACTTGTATTAATCATGATGGTTTGTGACTTTGGAAAAAGGGAAATTGGTCTGAATATAAAAATTACATTATTAAATTGTTGAAGTGATGCTTCTTCAGTGAACCAATACAAAGATAATACCAGTTGAAGAACTACTATACAACTTCTTCCCCACCTCACTGTGCCAAGGTGTATAGCTGACTTTTTTTAGATTTTAGTACCTTCTCTTTAAATCGCTCACAGTTAGGCTTTTCCTACAGCTCAGGCATATTGGGTCTCTGTACTTAACATGACTATTTTAGAAAGATCTTATCAGTCATCATTTCTAACATCTAAGTCATCTGTAGGTCTGCTTCTGTTGATTCTTTTCTCTTGATGATGGGTCACATTTTTCTGCTTCTTTGCGTGTCTTCATCATTTTGTATTGTATATTCTTTAAACTTACCCACAAACACACATACCACATAAAAACTCTATTTTGGTGAGAGTTGTAGTTTTTTCTGACTCAGATTCTGTTGTGGGTAACTGACAGGAGGCCCCAGTGAACTAGAACTCATTAGCAAAAAGCCATTTTCTGAAATGGCAGAGCAGCACAGTACTAATACCAACTACGGAGGAAGTTTATTGAAGTTCGTGTTCCTTTCAGGCCTGTCACTGAATAGCAATCTATAATCACCTTATTCTAAAGGTTGCTCCCAGGCACATTACCTTACAGGATTTTCTGGCCTGATGTCCTATGATAGGTAACCACGTAAGCACTGATTATTAGGTGGATTTAAGACAAGACCTCTGGGAGCCTCCTCGGCAGTAATTGGTCTTCTCTGTATTCCTTGAAGGTGTTTATGCCCTGGACAGTATCATGCAGAGTTGGTTTACCCTCTTTACTCCCACTGAGGCCACAAGTATAGTTGCGACCACCGTGATGTCCAACAGCACCATCGTCCGCCTCCACCTGGACTGCCACCAGCAGGAAAAGCTGGCCAGCAGTGCCCGGACACTTGCACTGCAGTGTGCCATGAAGGACCCTCAGAACTGTGCCCTCTCCGCGCTGACCTTGTGTGAAAAGGATCACATAGCTTTTGAGACGGCGTACCAAATTGTTCTTGACGCTGCTACAACTGGCATGAGCTATACCCAGCTCTTCACAATAGCACGGTACATGGAGCACCGCGGGTACCCCATGAGGGCCTACAAGCTGGCCACCCTGGCCATGACCCATCTCAACCTGAGCTACAATCAGGACACACACCCTGCCATTAATGACGTTTTGTGGGCCTGTGCGCTCAGCCACTCCCTTGGCAAAAATGAGCTTGCAGCTATAATACCTCTGGTGGTCAAGAGTGTCAAGTGTGCAACGGTACTGTCAGACATTTTGCGCAGGTGCACTCTGACCACTCCTGGCATGGTGGGACTTCACGGAAGGAGGAACTCTGGTAAGCTCATGTCACTGGACAAGGCCCCCTTGAGGCAACTCTTGGATGCCACAATTGGGGCCTACATCAACACAACGCACTCACGACTCACACACATCAGTCCTCGGCACTATAGTGAGTTTATAGAATTCCTCAGCAAGGCCCGAGAGACCTTCTTAATGGCGCATGATGGACACATTCAGTTTACACAGTTTATTGACAACCTGAAACAAATCTACAAAGGCAAAAAGAAACTGATGATGTTGGTTCGGGAGAGGTTTGGTTGATAGAACTTGTATGAATGGGGGTGGGGGGGGTGGGAATGGGAGGGGTGGTTTGTTTTTACTTGAGCCTGCCTTTGTACCCTTTTTAACTTAAAGAACAGAGCCACACCGGTATTATATGTGTATAGTTATATTGCGTTTGCAGACTAAATTGTCATGTTGTGAAAGTTTGTGTGTTTTTAATTTTTTCCCCTTTTTCTTTCTTTTTTTCCTTTCCTTTTATTTTATTTTATTATTATTATTATTATTATTTTTTGGTTTTGTATGAGCGAGAGGTTAAAAAGGTTTGGTTTACACTGAGTATATGTTGTCAAGTGGCGAAAGTCCACATAGCTCTCCTGTTTTCTGTATACGTTCACAGCCTCAAAAAAAAAAAAATAATTGAAATGGCTTTAAAAACCAAACAAAACACCTCCATCCTGTGATAAGTACCTCGAATGGATTCAGCTTTACTCCTTTGTAACTCATCTTTACATTTTCAGCATATTTAAACAAACCAACAAAATGAAATACTAATAGTTAAAAGGCTGACCCACGTGGCTTTGCAGTGCTGTTCGTCCAGAAGCATGGCACACAATGCTTGTGCATGTGGAAACTTAGCGACTGTCAACATACATTCTCAGGGATTTATCAAAAAAAAAATTAAAAAAAGAATGAGAGCATTTATTGTACTGTATATATATTATAGTATATGTCTGAATATTGAAAATATAACATTAACTAATTTATAAAAAAAATATTCTATGTAATGCAAAATACTTGAAGCTGCAGTAGCTTGGTTTTAAACAAAAACAAAAAAAAACTGAGAGAAAACCTATCAGAAGGACTAAAAGTGCGCCTTGCTTCAGGGTTGGCTCAGGCGGTGAACTTCATGCTGGGCATCTATGCAGAGCCACCTTTTGGATTGCATGGTTGGACTGAGATCTATTGGGAAAGATTATATATGTATATATATTTATACAGCTTATGTATACATATATATATGTATACACACAGACACCAGACACACACCACCACCAACAACCACTACACCACACATGCTTGTAACAGGCACTAGAATAAAGAGGGACAACAAAATACACAGCCAGAGCAGCAAGCCTTAGCATTAAGAATATACAGTATGCCGGAATTGGGGTTCGTGCCTCCTAGCCTAGGAAACTTAAAAGAAATATCCTTTGACACAAAACGGAAAATGTTTTCCAAAACAATTGACATATGATACATTACGCCTTTGCAGTGAGCTAATAATAAGCTAACCTTTGTGCACAAATAACATTATATATATTATATATCTATTCTGCATAGGTATTTTGACTTTGTGCAGGACAGAAAGTTGTGTAGGTATGACTGTTCTACTTTTCAGTTTTCTTTCTTTTTTTTTTTAATATATTTTATTTTCTCTAGAATTACTCAAAACAAAAGCAGCCTTCTATCTTGCCTTGTCTTAATGCTTTAAAATAACCAAACTGGAGATCTAACTACCAAACTGTTCATTATATTATTAAATACCAACTTTGGTTACAGTATAGTGTCTTTACTTTAGCTGATGGTTCTGTAACCTTGTGCTTTTTAAAGCAATTTTTATGTTTTGGTGCAAAAGTTGTCCAGTGTCTCCTGTTCCCTTCATTAGAGAACATGCTAGAGGTATGTTTGTAGGTATTTTTGTTTAGAAGAACTATTTCATGCGCTCCATTTTATTTATTATAATAGGTAAAAAGAAAAAAAAAAGGTTGTACTTCATCACCCATGTAAACATGCTCATGAAGTTGAAAGTAATTAAGATTTGATACACTGATATCAATTTATTTATGTAACTAAATCACTGTTTTATAAACTTGTTAATGATCAACAATTTTTGTTTTGATTAAAATTAGTTTTTTGAAAGTTGATTCTGCCTCCTTTATGGTATATGTCGTATTACACTTAAACTTGGTGATTATAGACCTGGATGTTACCCCCTCTCCGAGTGTCTAATACTATATTCATTCATCCAGTAAATATTTATGTACTGTTTTCTAGGCCCTGGAGATATAATGGTGAACAAAACTAGGCGCCGGCGGTTACTGGCTACCTAGTGGAGAAGACCAGCATGCAGCATCACAAAGATCAAACACGAGACAGGCTAGCTGACTTTTCCTCAGTCTGTACATGTGGTCATGCCTCCCTAATTAATAAACTATAATTTAAGATGCTCAGTACTTGATACTTTTAATAAATTCTGAGTTTGTGAGAGGTTTTTCTGTGTGTGCAGTTTAAAAGGAAATTGCCTTACAGCAGGTAAATGCTACCTACGCGTTATATACATTTGTGCCACCCCATCTCCATCAAAGATATGTAGCAGAGTAGATTGTGTGTGTGTGCGTGTGTGCTAAAAACCGTATCACAAATAGACCGTGTTAATCATTTTTAAGTATACAGTTTGGTAGTGTCAAGTATATTTACATTGTGCAATATGTCTAGAACTTCTCACCTGAGAGGACTAAATCTTATACCCATTAAACAACTACCCTTTTCTCCCTTTCCCCCAGACCCTTTTAACCACCATTTTACTTTGTTTCTGTGAATATAATTACCTTAGAGACCTCATATAAGTGCAGTTACACGGTGTTTGTTCTTTGTGTCTGGCTTATTTCACTTAGTATCATGTCCTCAAGATCCATCCATGTTGTAGCATGTTACAGGTTTTTCTTTTTCTTTTTTTTCTTCCTTTTTAAAACAATGTTTATTACTGAATTATAGTTGACATAGAGTGTTATATTAGTTTCAGGTATACAACATAGTGCTTCAACAATTCTGTGCATACTACTGAGTGTTCAGTGGTCAGTGTGGTTACCATCTGCCAGCAGAAAGCGTCATACACCAGAGGACTGTATGCCCAGTGTTGTATTTTGTACTTTATCTCTGTGACTGACCTATTTTATAATAGAAGTTAGTATCTTAATCCCCTTCACCTATTTTGCTGTAAAGTCCCCCCAACCAGCAGTTTATTCTCTGTATTTATGAGTTTGTTTTGATTCTTAAATTCCACATAGAAGTGAAGCCATGTGGTATTTGTCTTTATCTGACTTAGTTCACTTAGCATAATGCCCTCTAGATCCATACATGTTGTTGCAAATGGCAAAACCTCATTCTTTATGACCAAGTAATACTCCTTTGCGTATATATATGTATACACACACACACACACACACACACACACACCACATCTTAACCCATCATCCATCGATGGACACTTCGGTTGCTTCCTTATCTTGGCTATTGTAAGTAATGCTGCAATAAACAGTAATGTGTGTATCTTTTTGAATTAGTGTTTTCATTTTCATTGTTTTTTTTTAAGATTTTATTTACTTATTCATGAGAGACACACAGAGAGAGGCAGAGACACAGGCAGAGGGAGAAGCAGGCTCCATGCAGGGAGCCTGATGTGGGACTTGATCCTGGGTGTTCAGGATCACACCCTGGACCGAAGGCGGCGCTAAACCACTGAGCCACCCAGGCTGCCCTTGTTTTCATTTTCTTTGGGTAAATACCCAGTAGTGGAATTACTGGATCACATGGCATTTGTTTGGGGGTTTTGTTTTGTCTTGCTTTTAAGTGGATTCCCCCACTCAGCTTGGAGCCCAACTCAGGGCTTGAACTCATGACCCTGAGATCAAGACCTGAGCTGAGATCAAGAGTCAGCCGCTTAACACACCGAGCACCCAGGCACCTGGCATTTGTATTTTTAATTTGTTGAGGATCCTCTGTACTGTTTTTCACAATGTTGTACCAGTTTACTTTCCCACCACCAGGGAATGAGGACTCTTTTTTCTCCATTTCCTCACCAGCACTTGTTATTTCTTGTCTCTTTGATACTAGCTGTTCTGACTGGCGGGAGGTGGTATCTCATTGTGCTGTTTTCATTTGCATTTCCCTCATGATTTGGTGTTATTGAACATCTTTTCACATGTCTGTTGGCCATTTGTACGTCTTCTCTGAAAAATGTCTGTTTAGGTCCTCTGCCCATTTTTCTTTTTTTTTTTTTTTCCTCTGCCCATTTTTCAATCGAATTTTGGCCTTTTTGGTGTCAGGTGTTTAAGATTGGATATTATATATTTTGGATAGCAATCCTTTATCAGATATATCATTTGCAGATGCTCTCTCTCATTCAGTATGTTGCCTTTTTCTTTTGTTGATGGTTCCCTTTGCTCCATAAAAGCTTTTATTTTGGTGTAGTCTCTAGTTTATTTTTGCTTTTGTTTCCCTTGCCTGAGGAGACATAGCCATAAATATGTTGCTGTGGCTGATATCCAAGAGATTACTGCCTCTATTTTCTTTTAGGAGTTCTCTGGGCTCAGGTCTCACATTTAAGTCTTTAAATCTATTTTGAGTTTGTTTTTGTGTATAGTGTAAGAAAATGGCCCAGTTTCATTCTTTTACATGTAGCTGTCCAGTTTTCCTCAACACCATTGATTGAAAAGGCTATCTTTTCCCTGTTATATATTCTTGCCTCTTTTGTTGTGGGTTAATTGACCCTGGAAGTGTGGGTTAGGATTTTCTTTATTTTTTTAAAGCTGTATCATATTCCACTATATGTATATATATCACATTTTGTTTATTCACCTATCGATGTACATTTGGGTAGCTTCTAGCTCTTGACTATCATATGTAGATAGTGCTGCTGTAACACGGATATATAAAAGCTCTTTAATACTCTGCTTTAAATTCTTATGGCTAATACCCAGAAATGATCATGACAAATATGTTTTTTAAAACTGCAGTTTTCAAAATACTTAATCCCTTAAAATACTCTTAAAGTTTCTCTTTGATATTCAGTCTTAACAGTGCATTCCAAAGGTCTAAGAGTTGTAAGTCAATAGGTGGAAGTTAAAGGAGTCTGTGGTGACATTTTAAAATCCCATTAATGCCAAGTAGAAATAAAAATTAAAACTATTAAGTGGCATGAGGGTTGGTTCTGTTTTGCAAGTTTATTCTTGTTTTTTTGAAAGTTGATGCTGCCTAAGGGTAAATATAAAT